GTGAGTCTCCCTGATTGGCCAGAATGACAGAAAGTTCCAGAAAATCATCCAAAAAGTATAAAAACAGGGTTCACCTGCAGTCTGATCTCTTGGCCCTTCTGTAGACTTTCTGAGGAGACCAGCGTGGCAAAAGGCAGGGACCTCCTGACAGTCCGGAGAGACAGAGGAAAAGATGAAAGCAGCTTTGCAGACCCACAAACAGAGCCAGCGAGACAGTGATTGTGTAAGCTTAAGTAGCCAACTGGATTAGACCTAGTATTGTTTAATATTAAAGGCTATTGTAACTTGTTTCTTAATAAAGTTGAGACTGTTTGCATTGGTATTGGCTTGTGTTCATAGTGATTTGACCACCTCAGTATTGTGGGACACCTGGGCAAATTCATTCATAACATTCAGGATGGAGTTGTCTAACTTATTTAAGGAGGGACCAGACAACAATAGCTACAACAATAAATTCATAGAGGGCATTAGGGTTCGTTTCCTAGAGCAATATGTCATGGAGCCAACCAGGAAACAGGCTATCATGGATCTGGTAATGGGGAATGAGGCACTTTTATTAAATGACCTCTGAGTAAAAGATCCTGTAGGAAGTAGTGATCATAACATGACAGAATTTAATATTCAGTTTGAAAGTGAGAAACCAGGTCAGAAACAACTGTGTTTAAGAATCCCTCAAATCCCAACAGTGTGGAAACAGGCCATTCAGCCCAACAAGTCCACACTGACCCTCTGAAGAGCATCACACACAGACCCATCCCATATCTTATATTTCCAATGGCTAACATATCGAACCTACACATCCCTGGACACTACGGGGTAATTTAGCATGGCCAATCCACCTGACTTGCACATATTTGGACAGTGGGAGGAAATTGGAGCCTCAGAGGAAATCCACTGTTATGAAGTTGTGTAGAGTAATCGTGAATTGGTAGGTAAGAAGCTAGAATTTGTTTGTAAAAATGATAGGGGGGAACAGTGCATAGTCCCTTTAAGGGATGATGTGCTTTTCTAAGCTTAGAGAATTATACAGAAAAAGAATGTGTCTGGGTGTAGCTGAAGATGTATAGCCAATTCTGAAATTGTAACATGTTTCAATTGGCTGTGTGATTGGAAATCTTAGGCTTTTTTTGATGTTTTGGTAATGAACTGGAGTCAGCCAATTAATTTACGCCAAGCACTTAACTTAAGCCAATTGAATTTAAATCTGATGGTTTTGACAACCTCGGCCCAATGCTATTGTAAGAAAATTGATATGTTATTCAAGATATATAAGGAGACGGTTTTTAAAAATTGGTGTGAGAGCGAACCGCCATCTGAGAAATAAGCATCTAGCTCTCACAATAAATTGCTAAGCTCTCTAAGAAAGCACCATCTATCCATAAAAGGTACCAAGGCACTTCTAGCCAGGAGTCCTCATGGAAGACTTCACAGAGAAAACATCCCTGATAGCCAGATCAGTGGAAGAAAGGCATTCATGACTTGATAACTGCAGAAGAAAGGCGTGTAGACTTTGAGAGACGAAGCTTTAATTCTTTTTCTTATTATTTGGGTTAATACAAGTGGGACTTGTGTTTATTAGAACAGCATTCCTGTAGAGAATTTTGTTCAGTTGTGGAATATTTAGTAGTTAAGGGGGAATTGTTCAGTTTGTTAGTAATTCTGTTAATTTGTTCACTGTTAGGGTTAAATAAATAAATTGTTACTTGTTACTTATAAAGTAAATATCAGGGATTTTCTTTCATTTAACCTCCCCTTCCCTGTAACACCACACAAACACGGGAAGAATATGCAAACTCCATACAGTCATCTGAGGATGGAATCAAACCTGGGTCCCTGGTGTTCTGAGGCAGCAGTGAAATAAAGGGAATTACAATGAACTGAGGATAGAGTGAAAGTGGGCTGGGTGCAAAGCTAAATAAGAATAAGTGTAAGCAAACAGTGGCAGGCAATTCAGGAGTTAATCCATGACTCTCTGTAAAAATACATCCCAGGAAGGAGAAAGATTCTCAGAGAGGGATAAACCGATTGTAACTAACTGAGGAAGTTAAGGAGAATATTGAGTTGAAAGAAAAAGCATATAAAGAGGTAAAATTCAGTGATAGCACCAAAGATTGAGATAAATTCAGAATCCAGCAAAGGAGCACCAAAAAGATTATAAGGAGACAGAAAACAAAATATGAAGGTACATGAGCATAGAATGTAAAAACTGACAATAAAAGCTTCTTTAAATGTAGAAAACAGAGGAGAGGGGTCAAAGTGAACATAGGCCCCTTAGAAAATGACCTGGAGAGATGGTCTTGGGGAACAAAGAAATGGCAGAGGAGTTAAACAGATATTTTACATCAGTCTTTACAGTGGAAGACACGTTACACATCCCACTGATACTATAGAATACAGGGGAGGAATTCAGTGCCATCGCCATCAAGAGAGAAGTAATACCTGATAAACAAGTGCAGCTAAAGGCAGACAAGTCCCCTGGCATTGAAGGAGCTTGCATCCTCAGACCCTAAAAGAGGGAGCTACAGAGTTAGTGGATACATTGGGTGCAATTTTCCAAAAGTCCTTGGATCCTGGAGAAGTACCAGAGAATTGGAAAGCTGCCAATGTGACATCCCTATTCAAAAAGGGAGGAGGCAAAAAGCAGGTAACTATAGGCTGATTAGCCTAACATCTATTGTTGGAAAAAGTATTGGAATCAACTATTAAGGAAGTAATAGCAGAACATTTAGAAAATCATAATCTAATAAAGCAGGGTCAGTACGGCTTCATGAAAGGGAAGTCGTGTAAATTTATTAGAATTTTTCGAGGAACTCTCAGCCAGAGGGGATACAAGGGAACCAGTGGATGTGCTGTATTTGGAATTCAAGAAGGTGTTCAACAAGGTACCTCACAAGAGGTTAATCCACTATATAAGAACCCACAGTGTTGGAGACAGTGTATTAGTGTAGATAGAGAATTGGCTCATGCGCAGGAAACAGCGAGTGGAGATAAGGGGATCTTTTTCAGGTTGGTGACCTGTAACCAGTGGGCTCTACATGGATCAGTGCTGGGACAGCAACTGTTTACAATTTATATGAATGATTGGGAGGAAGGATGTAAATGTACTATCACCAAATTTACAGATAACACAAAAACAGGTGGAAAGGCAGGTTGTGAGAGGGATACAGTTAATGGAGAAATATTAATAGGCTAAGTAAATGGGCAAAAAGTAGGCAAATGGGGTATAATGAAGGAAAATGTGAAGTTGTTCATTTTGGAAGGGACACCAAAAGAACAGTATTACTTAAATGGGGAGAAACTGCAGAAAGCTGCAGCACAAAGGGAAATTTAAGGAAAAATATTATTTCATTGGAGGCAGTTCAGAGAAGGTTCACTAGGATGATCCCTGGTACGGAGGGACTGTTTTATGAGCAAAGGTTAAACAGTTTGGGACTGTACTCACTGGGGTTTCGAAGGATGAGAGGTGATCTCATTAAAACATCTCAGATTCTTAACGGGCTTGGCAGGGTGAATGCTGAGAGGATGGTTCCTCTCATGGGAGAGTCTGGGAACAGGGGGCATAGCCTCAGAATAGACGGGCAGCAATTTAAGACTGAGATGAGGGGAATTTCTTTCAGAGGGTTGTGAGTTTTGCAACTCCTTGCCACAGAGAGCTGTGGGGGCAGAGTCCTTGTGATTATTTAAGGCTGAGATCAATAGATTATGAGGAAAATTGTGGGAAGGTAGATGTGAGGAATGTCAAATCAGCTGTGATCCTATTGAATGGTGGAGCAGGCTAAAGGGGCTGAATGGCCTACTCCTGTTCCTATTTCTTATGGTTTTATAGTCTTCACCAACAGTTTGACTTTTATTGAACTCTCTGGAGAGAAATCTAAATCCTTCTTCAGTGAGAGAGTTTAAGTAGCCCCTGAGTAGAGTTATGGGTGTGGATGCTTCCCTTCAGATAAAAACCTTTCCTATCTCTCATTCACCCGCTGGACATCTTCACCACTACCTCTGGAACAAAAACAGAACTGGGTTCTGAGGAAGGGTCACTGCACCCAAAACATTAACTCAGATTTTTTCTTCACAGACGCTGCCAGACCTGCTGAGCTTTTCCAGCAATTCCTGTCTTTATTCCTGGTTTACAGCATCCGCAGTATTTTTGTTTTTTATTTAGTGTCTACCTCTGGTCCCTTAGTATAGCTAAAGCTTCAATCTGATCTTGTGGCCTTTTCTTTCTGAGTTTCCTTTTCAGATTCATCCTTACAAATCCCATGCTTTCCCTCTCAACTTCCAGCATTCTGAATGAATGTGTCCCACTTTGTTACCGCGGAAACACCTCAGTTTCTGATTCTCACCTTCACCCTCCGTACCTTCCTTTCTGATCTGAGGAGGAGACCTTGGGGCATTGCCAGCTCCATTCCATACTCTGGCTACTCGCCTTCCTTTCACT